AATCATTTGGGAAACTAAAGGAACTATAACAATTCAGACTAATTGAAAAGGGGCAACCACACTTTTTTCCATTAAGGAAATCAAGAGGTGAGACCCTGGAGAGAGGGAGGAATTTCCAGTGGGAGCCCAGTAGAGCGCTTCTTAGGAAATCCAATCAATTAATTTGGACATCAAGGAAATCTGACACAATGGAGAGTTTTCAGAAACCAGGGATAGGTATGGTGTGGTCCCATTTCCATCAGGCAAAATAAGAATTGCTACTTGATTCAGAGAAACAGAATTAAAAGGCTCCCAGGTTTAGAGGCAGGCAGCTAATGCAGGTGACTTCCGCCAGGCCCTACGGCTTAGGGCAGCAGCGCTCACAGTCAAGGGCAAGCTAAGTGATGAGGGTACACCCCACTTTGGGATTCTGTACCTAGAGTACAGCCAAGGTTTGATTTTGGGGTGTAATGCCCTGTAGCCAAAACTGGATCAATATATTATGAGCTCTTAATCCCACATAATGATTGAACGTTGGGTTGACATCACGGAGACCAGTAAGAGGATCATTTATCTGACTGGCACAGAATAGGCATCTGAAGGGCGGCAAAAGGTCTAGAGAATGTCTGGTTAAGCTTTCTTATTTTGCATATGGACACTAAATCCAAAAAGGATAAAACATCGGCCCCAAGTTTTCACGGGTAGTTAGTGGCCTAGCTGGGACTAAACCCCAAATTTCCTGACTCCCTGTCCAGTGCTCTGAAGCCAGAAGGAGCCAGAAGGAGCTGTGAGGCAGTCGTCTGTAGGATCACCCGAGTCAGCTCTCTACCATCTGGGCCAACAGGAAAACAGTGACTCACAGAATCCAGCGTTCCTTTGGAATGCAGGAGAGGTGTGCCTTTCTTCTATGCTCTGAGCCTTTTCAATTTCTGTAAATAAAACCCTATTTTAAATGCCCTGGGAGAGCTGGCAATTGTGAGTGCCTTGCGGGCCAAGATCATATTTGGTGATACTTAGAACAGGCTTAGGCCAACTAACCGATGGATCATTTGATAGATGGAGAGCAAATGTCTGTACATCAAATTGTCAACGAGTTTTGCTGAGACTGAAAGCCACGTTCAGTTGCATTCTGAAGCCCTCAGGAGTGGCAGGAAGAATGAGAGGCTGCAATTTGCCAAGGGTAACACATGTAGAGTCTTTGCAGGTTAGCTGTTTAAAAGTGTGCGTGTGAAGGTACAGCTGTCGGTGCCAGGATCCATTGTTCTCTCACCCAGGACCCCTTGGTAACTGCATGATCTCATTCATCGGACCCACTACTACCTGGGAGCGGATACTTTTTGAGAACCTTAAATCTACCACAGGTAAGTGATGGGGGGACAGAGGGCTAGCTGAGGACGAAGCACAAGCCCGGGGCAGCGCATTGACAAGTCCCTGAAACAGGCAGAGGGACACTCCTCTACAGGCCCAATTGCCTCAATGTTCATACTTTGCTGAGGGTGAAAGGCAATCTTAGCCTGACTCCCAGGACCCTGTGAGTCTACTTTAACATATAAAAATTCCTTTAGAAATTTCCTTTATCTTTAAACCCCCCAAGATAGATGTTGGGGATCGTCCCCCAAGCACATGGCCCACGGATATCCATCTGAAGGGTCCCATGGCTCAGGTCTTATTGGATGGTAATAAGTGACTTTTCCCAACAATATCTAACCCCCTTGAGGTCCTGGGAACCTGGCCTCCAAAATTCCTTAGAGAGGAGGCTATCCCCAGACCCCTCCCAACTCCAAGGTGTAGAATCAGCCACCCCTCAAGGCCCGGGGCAGCAGCTCTTCCTGCCCGGGTCCTGTGCCCGGGCCTTAATAAAACTACGATTTTGCACCAAAGACCTTTCAGGAATTCCTTCTCGGTCGTTGGCTCCAGACCTCACCTATATTCCAAAAGTTTGTCAGTAAATGACCCACAGAGCAGACACCTTCACATTAATTGCATCTGTCATCTGGGAGAGCCCTGCCCTTCTCTGTCCTAACAACCACGCAGAGCACTGATAAAAACAGTCACTCCTCTCTCTGCCACCTCACCAGGCCTCCAAGGCCACAGGACAGAGACCTGCCCTTTCCTCTATTGCTACATACACTAATGGCCCTAGACACCCCACACACATTTATCGGCAAAGCTACTATAAAGACACTACTCAAAGAAAAGTAAAATCTTGATAGTATGCCATTCTGCTTCTCAAAAGTGTTCAATGACTTCTCATCGGCTACAGAACACAGTTCAGATTACGGAGCTGACATCTCAGGCCTCCCGAAGGCTGGTCCCACCTCTCTTTTCCTGTGTCTTAGCCTCCTTATTCTGCCACACAGACCCTTCCCCTTCAATCATGGGGCCAATTCACTATCCCCCAAATACTCCTGGGCCTTCCTCAGTTGAACACATTCCCTTCTTTGCCCTACTGTTCATCACCCATGTATCCAAAAGCTACTTTCCATGGCTCAACTCACTGTCACCTTCTTCTCTTTGCTACCCAGCTAACATGATTTCATGCTTTTTTTTTTTTTCTCTCCATGAGAACAGATCTACATTTTTGTTATCCTCTGCTTTGAATACCCCACACTGTCTGGTATCCATTCTTAATATATATGTGTTAATTGATTAATTCCAAATAAGCAAACAAAACAAACCAAAAAAAAAGTGGGGGGGTCTATATTTAAAGCTCTTTAAAATAAGGTAGCACTCTATTATTATATTATCCACACAATGGAAACTTCAGAGAGCCTAGGATGTTGTCATTGGATTCCTTTCTTTCCACAGAAGCCCAAACTAGGTCATTTCAAACCTCAGTCACCTTCAGAGAGATTCTAGAAGGGCACAGTAAGAACCAGCAAAGGAATCACATTCCTGGATTCCTTGCTTGTTGTCCAGATCTGCTACTGAATCAGATTCGGGCAAGTGTGAACTGGAGAAATGAACTAATCATTAGCACCATCCAAACAAAATGAAAGGAGCTCTTTTGTTATGTTGGCGGGATAGTCAGGTTTGAAAGGAGGGAGTGAAGGAAGAAAGGGGAGAAGAAAAATACAGCCATCAATTGCCTTCCCTTCAATCGTACTTTTCCTGCCTTTTCTCTTTCTATTTTTTTCACAAATATGTGATGGAACTGGAATATTTGGAAGGCATAAGATTAAGATTGAAAAGACAATTTGCTATAATCTAATGAGGATATTTTCTAACATGTTTACCAGCCAGATGCTCCTCTAACTGGGTCCTGTTTAGTTTGTCCAGAATATATTTCTTTGCTAAAGAAAGTGCGAGAAGTGGTACCCCGCCTCTAAAATGACATGTGATTTCAGGGGTCAGCTCTAGAATAGCCAATGCAGTCCTATTTCTAGGTCTAGTAACAAGGGTTATTCATTTCACAGACTTAATATAATGGGTTTGGCCGCATCCTTAAAAGACAAACCTACTGCAAAGAAGATAACTAAGTTATGGAGGATGAGAAAAGAGTAGAACCAAGTAGCAAATAGGAAAAGTTAATGTAAAAATTCTAGTTTCCTAAGCATTAATTCTTTTTTTCATTCATTAAACTAAAAAATAGTGGCCATTTTCTATGTGTCAGTGATCCATAGTGTCATTTATTCAATTATATTATACATATCCATTGAGTACTTATTTTCTACTAGCTAGTTAACCACTAGATACCTCTTTGCAGCCTAAAAGTCACTGAACAAAAAGTAAATGGGAGGAGGTATGAAAAACTATAAACATTAAAGCAAAGAAGCAAATCCCCCCCCCAAAAAAAAAATCATACCTTCTGGACTAATTGTTCCAATGTCAAATTCGTTGATGATAAATTTAAATTTTTTCATCTGATATATCACTAATCTCTGTCCACACTCCAGGCACATGGGGTTCTACTTTACTGATTTCCACATGTATCCAATTGAGCACAAGATTACTTACAATGGAAGCTTTGGGCTCCAGGGGCAGACAGGTGGGAATATGGGTGTGTAAAAAACCAAGTCCAGTGTAAACTTAGCACAGGTGGCAACTAGTATTATTGTTACCCAAATGCCACTCTTGGGCTTCTTCCTAATGAATTTCTTTGAATCCTTTTCTATAGTTGTGACCTTCTTCAGACCAATGGTTCTTACAGAGAGAAGAGAATTTTGCCCCTCCACTCCAGGGACATTTGGCTAAGTGTAGGGACATTCTGAGTTTCACCACTTAGGAAGAAGGATGATACTGGCACGGGGTGCAGAGAGGCCAGGGAGGTTGCTCAACATCTTGCAGTGCACAGAAGAAGTCCCCACAACAAAGAATTATCCAGCCCAAGATATCACAGTTCCCAGTTTGAGAAACCCTGCTCTTGACCATCATTTTTCCTTCTCTCGGAGCCTGGCAACCTCAGGATCCACCCTGAGGCCAGGTTAGGTGTTTCATAGGACAGCCTGGTGCACAGAGTGTCCAAGCTTTGACAGCTCAACAGCTGTCACTCCCCATCTTGGGGGTTGAGCTGTTGCTTCACCCCTGAAGAGCCCCTTCTCTAAAAGAAAAAATCTACACAATACTTACCTCCTAAGGTTGTTTGTGTAAACACTGAATCAAGTTTTCTATCTACCTCTATATAGATATATTTATGTAAAGACCTACTCAGAAAAGTCCTCTCATTCTTCCCAGGCCACTCACCCCACTGCCCCCCACCCTCCTTTCCCCCCTCACCCCCCCCCCATCCTTAAGGCTCAGGTTCTTTCTTTTTAAAGTGTTTTCATCCCGTTGGTGGCACAACTCAAGCTCGGCTGGGAGGTGAGTCACCACTCAGCAGCTGAAGGAGCTTGTTTGTCTTCCTCTGAATGTGCTCCCTGGGGATCTCCGCCGTCCCCTGGGCTGCGGGCTCAGGCCCCGCGGGGAGGGGGCCGCGGCCGCGAGCCGGTCTCCCCGGGTCAGGAATCAGGGTCTCCTAAATACCGAAAATAGCCAAGGCGGAGCCCTGAGTCCGGTTACATAAGCAGATGTTGAGGACCCAGGCTGCTTCTGAGCTCCCTTCCGCACCGGCCGGTCTCGGCTGATCCCCCCTCGGGCCGCGCGGGTCTCGGGAGGGGCCTCGGGGGCGGCGCCACCCGCAGCGCGGGGACACCCTTACGGCCACCAGCGCGGGGCCCGGGCGGGCTCCCCGGGGCGGGCGGCACCAGCTCGGCCCCGGACCCCAGACCCCCGGACCCCGCGACCCCCGGGCCCTGGACCCCGCGCCCCCGGACCCCGCGCCCCCCCGCGCCCCAGGGACCCCGCGACCCCCGGACCCTAGACCCCCGGACCCCCGTGCCCTCCCGCGGCCCCCGTGCCCTCCTGCGACCCCGGTGCCCTCCCGCGATCCCGGACCCCCGCGCCCTCCCGCGGCCCCCGTGCCCTCCTGCGACCCCCGTGCCCTCCCGCGACCCCGGACTCCCGTGCCGTCCCGAGACCCCGGACCCTCGCAACCCCTGGAGCCCCGCGCCCCCAAGCCCCGCGCCCTCCCGCGCCCCCGGACCCCCGCGCTCCCTGGATCCCCAGGCCCCGCGCCCTTCCGCGGCCCCCGTGCCCTCCTGCGACCCCCGGACCCCGCGACCCCCGGACCCTGGACCCCCGGATCCCGCGACCCCCCGCGTCCCCGGACCCCGCGACCCCCCGCGTCCCCGGACCCCGCGACCCCCCGCGCCCCATGGACCCCGAGACCCCCGGGCCCTGGAACCTGCGCCCCGGGACTCCGCGACCCCCCGCCCCCCAGATCCCGCGCCCCCCGGACCCCCGGACCCCCGCGCCCCCGGACCCCCGTGCCCTCCCGCGGCCCCCGTGCCCTCCTGCGATCCCGGACCCCCGTGCCCTCCTGCGACCCCCGTGCGCTCCTGCGACCCCGGACCCCCGCGACCCCGGACTCCCGTGCCGTCCCGAGACCCCGGACCCTCGCAACCCCTGGACCCCCGCGCCCCCGGACCCCCGCGCCTTCCCGCGGCCCCCGACCCCCGGACCCCGCGCCCCGGGCTCCGCCAGCACCTGGGCAGTGCTCCTCGGACGCCCAGCCGCCCCTCTGGGGCCTCGCTTAGGAACCGTTATTTAGGTTTTCAAATTCACAGTCAACACCTTGAGCCCTAAGAGTCACCCCCAACTACTCCCGTCCTCAAAAGGGAGAGAAAAAAAAAAAAGTCCTACAAAACCAGAAAATAATCCAAGGCCTCTTTCCTTCCAGATCCTGCGTGTTTGTGGCTCTCGGTCCCGCACGCACTTCCTCCCCAAGCCTTTCCCCTGCGGTCCGCATCCCTCTACCTCTCTCCGTCCGTCTTCCCTCGCTCTGCCCCTCCCGCCGCCCCCCCCCCCGCCTCTGCCCCCCGCCCCCTCCCGCCGCCCCTGCGCGCTGCTCCGGCCGCGCGGCTCCTGCCCACCTACCGTGCGGGCCGCCCCGCCCACCTGCCCATAAAAGCCCAGAGCGTGTTAGCGGGCGCGGGGCAGAGCGCCTTCCCGGTCGTCTCCGTGGAGCCCCCGAGCCTCGCCCGGATCTTCCGAGCTCAAGGTAAGCGCCCGCTTCTGCCGGCGGCCGGCCTCCGGGGTGCGGCGGCGGGTGGGAAACGGGCCTGAGGCTCGCTGAGCAGCCTCCTAGGGATGCCAGATGGGCTGCTCCCTTAGCTAGCAACTGGTTCGAAAACAAACTTCTGTTTGAACGGTGAAATAAAAGTTCATTTTGGGCAGAAACAGCGGCATAAATACTGCAAGAACCTTCTCTCTTTTGAAAATCACTTTCCCCCCTTTGCTGCCTTGCTGAAGTCAAAATGTGTCCGTTCGGGGTGTGTTTTACTGACGTTTTTCATTGTAAATCCTTCATCTATCAGTGGGGGCAAGGGAGACTTTGTCCCATTGTCAAAAATATACTTGAAAAGAACACAATTAGTTTCCTAAAAATAGCACAGTCAAAAGGTCTGCTAACAATTTTGCGATGTTTTCCAAACCCCCTAAGACAGCTTCTGTGAGCCCTTTAAAAAGTATCTTTCCAGGTTTAAGTGCTTGGAAAAAATGATGTGAACCGGTGCCCTTTGCACAGGGACGGTAATCAGGTGGCTGGTAGATAGGAAAGAACAAATCCAAATTTACAAGCTGGGGCAAAATGTGTTCTCACAAAGCTATCTTTTCAAGACTTTCTGAAATGAGAATTCTGTTGGAACCAAGGAAGTGCATGAAAGAACTTCATGAATTTCTATACATACACCTAAACATAAAGCGTTTCAATATGTTTCACAGCAAGAGGAAAACACGGGCCAGATTATACAATTCCTCTGTGTACACCAGGCGGTCGTAAAGAGAGATCAGCTCAAAGGCTTTGCAAGTTTGAACCCTGCTTGCCACCTTCTTTCCCCCTGTCTAGCGAATTAGAATCCACCCACTCCGCACCCGATTCTCAGAGCTAGCGGGTGGTTAAGCTACCATCACATGTGGAGACCACTCTCTCTTCCTAGTTCTCAAGTCGGAGAAAGAGGACAGTGCACCTGTGACAGGAAAAAACAGACTCCCGGCTACTTCTGTATCCCCAGACACTTGGTCCACGACGTTTGCTGTCAAAATCTGTGGGTTGTGTGGGATGCAACTCTCTCATGTGGGAGAAAAACGCTCTTCAGATATTTCCTCTGGGGATTTAATTGCACAAGACGGCTTAGAGACAGCAAAGCAAAGCTGGCAGGCAGGAAACCAAACCACTATTTCAGCCCTTAAAGTTCTTAAAGGAAAAGAGGAAAAGTTTCACCTTTTTTTTTTCTTTTTTGGTTTATCTCTGTTCACTTCCAAAGGGGAAACTCACCAAAGCTGTAAATAATTCTTCGCTATCAAACAAAGCGAAATTATCAGAAGTTTAACTGAGGGTGTCTGAAAGCTTTTCTCTGCATCGTTTACACCACAAAAAAAAAAAAAGAGAGAGAGAGAGAGAGATAATCAAGATATATTAAAATTCCATTGGCGTGGAGGGAATTCAATGCTATTATTCAAATGAAAGACTTACCCGGAAAGCTTTCTGTCGTACAAAATTTTGCTTCATTGGAAAAAATTATTGCAGGGAGTGTGGTTTCCTTAAAGAAAATGATATAAAATTACTATTGGCCGATAGTGTGCGACCTGAGCGTATTAAAATACCTTTCATCTCGAGCCACAGTGCAGACTGCTTGCTTCATAGCTGATGGGAGTGGGTAGGGGACCAGGACAAGAGCACAGGTACGGGAAGGCCAAGCCGAGTGTATGACGTGTCCACACTAATTCCTCTTTAGGTGGTGCCTGACTCATGCCATCGTCTCAAGGGTGAAAATACACTACTTCATTCACCAGATTTCCCTTGAGGGAAGTTATCTTTTCTGGGAGAGAGAGAGAGAGAGAGAGAAAGTGCTCCCAACATAAAAGAACTCCTGTTATTCCTAAATTTGGGGATGAAAAGTGTTCTCCCAGAGTTTGCTTCTGCTTTTCCTGGCAGCTGATCCACTCTACCAGCTATGAACCACTTCCCCCTGTGCCATCAAGTTCAACACCCTAAATAACCGGGTGAGATAATGGAGATCCCTCATGATCTAACTTTCCCAGGCCCTTTACTGGGCTCTTAAAGTGATTCTCTCCCCTGTCGCGTACATATCAGCCACGATGACTCTTCTCAAGTTTTTTTTTTAAAAAAATCAGTGTTGGGGTTTTATGTGGTTACCCCAACATATCCCTTTTGTACCAGGTGCGGAGACCCCACAGGAGTCTCCTCTTTATGCCATTGTATAGCTGTTCCTGGATTGGCTTCGTGGCCATACCAAAGTGACACTGTCCTAGCAGGCTTGCCCGACTCCTTTAAGTGTTTCTCATAAAGTCCGAAGGAGCACTGCCTGTTTCACCAGAGACACTTCTGGCCACGTCGAGGGCCTGCTACATCTGGGGAAACACACAGTTGAAATTTTCTACAATTCTCACAATTCTAAAACGCCGTTCTTTCTATGACCAGAAAGTGTATCCCACTGTTTTGTGCCATTTGTACTACAAAAATCCAAGAGAAGAGAATGGGGATGAGAACTGAGAATGAAGCCAGGAGGAATCTCTCCTAGGAAGTCCCCTAGGAGACGAGAAAGAGCAGAATCTCTGTTGTAAATGCAGATTCTTTTTGCCTCTATCGATGTGAGCCATGAAGAGATGAGAGGGGCAAATATTCATATGCGATCTTGGCTTTTGTCTTAAATCAGTAAGAGTATTTCCACTAATACGTTATGATTCATCTGTTGTGCCCTTCTCTAACAGAGTGTAGACCAGTTCTAAAGACCAAAACGATTTCAAGTCGGCCTCCCATTAAAATCCATAGGACTTTGCCAGGTAACAATTTTAAAACCTATATTATGGGTATAAAAACCATCAGGACATTAATGAGTGGTTCACATTAACAAACCCACCCCTAACTTTCCCAAAGGACCCAGTGTTGTGTAATTATTTGCAAGTGAGAAGTTAACAGCAACAGTTTACTCCTTACCTATGGTCCCCCATTTTGGTATGGTAACTTGCAGACCGATTGAGATGCGGACGTATTTCCCAACCTCTGGTCCTGCCAGTTAATCCTCTGAAAACCAGGTCTTTCTTCATGCATTGGCTTCCTTTTCTTCCACCACGTCTTCATAAACAAATATATGCATAATTTAAAGAAGGTACAGATCTTGAGACTAGAATCCAGGCTTCTGAGAGACGCACCGTTTCTAATTATTCAGTGAAAGGAAAAATTAAAGGAGAGGGGAGGAGGAAGTTAAGGGGAGAATGAATGCTCTTTGGAATTTAGAGAATGTTTTACTTTAGCATTTTGTGAAATGCGCCTCTTACTACTTGAAGCATCTACAACTTAAAAAAAAAAATTCTAAATTTTAAAAAAGACCAGCTCACTAGTTGTTACAAAATGCTGAGGTTATAATGAAAAAGATCTTCCAATGGTGTGGTGGTCATGAACAGCAGTTTACACCCCACCGTACTGAATGAGAGCTCTGCTAAATTTGCCCTTTCCAGAAAGGCAAGGAGTGAAGAGTGGGAATGAAAATTAAGCACATTTCAGCACCAGCAGAGCAGCCACTAATCGGACATTCCACTATCGCTTTGGTAACTGTGTTTGCTGTTTGAGGAAGGAATAGTCTGTCCTCAAGCAAATAGATTTGCAGGAAGGGGGTTAGAGGGAGTCACACAGGGTCGGAATGTGTATAATCTAGGGGCCCTGTGCACACAAATCCTCAAAGCCACTGAAATTGCATGGAATCAAACTGAAGTGATTGAAACAAAAATGTTTCTGAAAACTGATTATAGAGAGCAATCAGCTAAAATACTACTGAACTCTAACTTCCATGTAGCCTAACAGCACCTATAGCTGATGATATACAATACTGCAACACACCTGGTGGCTCACCTTCAACCTCCTCTAGTAATTTTGGGTTCACTGCCATGGTCCTTCCTAGGAAATGAAAACCTCCCTTCTCTCCCTCAGCACAAGATTTGCAGATGCATCCCTCACCCTCCTCTGGTACCCTCATATTTCTTTCAGTAGGAGAAATCTCTTTTTAGTTATTACAGATCAAGTTTCCAGAGTACCACTCATATGGATTTTCTCATTACCAAAAGTGTCCTCCTTCTCTTAAACGGGATGTAAATTTTCACTCCAACAAATGAAAATGCTGTACATGTTTGTAAACCTTAATTCATCTATCTCGAAGAAAGGTAATTTAAAATTGCTATTGACTCCAGCAGGCCCCTCTGAGATGACGTTTCTAAACGCTTTATCTAGTCCCTATTCTAATTTCTTGAGTATTACACTTAGAGAATCACAGAATATAAATGCTGGAAGGATCTTTGGAGCTAATTTTAACTAAAGTTAATTTTATAGATGAGAAAAGGTCAGAGAATTGATGTCCTACCCAAGGTCAGCCAGACGTCTATAGCAGAACTAGGGCTTTAGTTTAGGTAGCCAAACTCTGAACAGTGCTCTATCTTGGATAACTAAGATAACTAAAATTGTGTTTTCCCCATACAGTATGTATCAAAGATGTCTTAAAATCTGATTCCAATATTTATGTGACAAAATAAATATATTATCTTGTGATGGTTTATAGCATAACCTTCTTCTCCCCAGCAATAGACAATGTGTTGGTAATAAGACCTTACTCCTTTCCAGGTCTTTAATGAGAAAAAAGGCAAAATATGCATAAAGAACAACCAGAGGAAACTTTGAGACACAAATGGATTGAGGGGTGTAAGCATGAAATGTGTCGTGTCAGAGGAGAGGGGTCAAGGGCCCGAGTATAGAGACAAGATAGTGTACCTAAGAGGGCTCATTCCATCTTAGAAAAGAGAGAAACACCATAGTTTTAAGGTGCTGGAGAAGAGATTTTTAATATGTCTGATCCAAGTGGCCTCTTGTTAAAAGGCAGACACAAGATAAAGTGAAGACCTACATGAAGGTAGAGCTAAGAACTTGTGGCTTAGGTGGCCAAAATCGAGGTTGGAAGAATAAGAGATAAAAAGATTTTTAATATGTCTGAT